CCTACGCGTACCCTTCCTCGTCTCTGTTCCTACTGCGGCTCCTCCGCACCCCCTCCCCCCTCCTCCTCACCAAGGACCAGCCATAGTGCAACAGCAGGCAAGCAAAAATACACACGAAAAAACCGTAAGGGGAAAAAAAGAAAAAAAAAAAAAAAAAAAAACTCCTAGTCGCGCCGTTCTGCACAGGGACCACCACAACTGGCTCAATCTGCGCCCCAGGGTGTCGCGCATCCATCCACGCCTCTTCCTTCCCCTGGTCGACCTCAAGAAGTCCAATCGTGGCTCCATAAAAATTTCTAATTAAAATCGAAATGGCTCAAGAAGACATCAAAAGCACCAGCACCGGCACAAGCACGAGTGCCAGCACCTCCAGCGTGCCTGTACCCGTGCCTGTGCCTCTACCAGATGCCAACGACGTCGTCGCTGCCAGTACGGAGCCCTTGACGACCTCTACTAATTCGGTCCATCCCCCGACCACTTCGACCTCTCCTCCTCCTCCTCCTCCTTCTGTATCTGCTCCTGCTTCCGTCCCCACTCCCTCACCTGCTCCAGCTCCAGCTCCAGCTCCTGTGCCCCTCTCTGCGACGACGCCGACCTCGAGCTTGACTTCGACCTCGATCCCAACCTCGACCTCGACCCGGACTTCCTCAGCCGAGATCTCGTCGAACGCGACTGCGAACGCGTCTGTTCCCGCCACGACACCAGCACCCCCGACTGGTTCTGAGACCGAGCCTGCTCTGGCTGCTCCCTTTGCTGATCCTATTCCTGCCCCCCCGCAGCAGAACGACCAGCAGAACAGCGACGCGAGGGCGTCATCCTCGCCGACCATGTCCCACCATCACCAGCCTCAAAGAGGCTATCCGAGCCCCAACAACTTCCCCTCACCCGGCGCCTTGGCCCCGAACCAATACTCCTACCACCCGCAGCAGAGCCAGGCTTCTGATCCATACCGGGCCAATTCTGGCCCTCCAGTTCCATCTCTGCCGAGCATGAAGAGCCTCGACCATCACTATCAACACGGAGCGCCGGCTCCTCAAACGATGCCAATGCAGATGCAGATGGCTCCGAACCAGGGCATGCAGTATTACCTGCCGCCGGGAGTGCAGGGCAACCCATACATGACGCAAGACCTGAACCACCTGAGATATCAGATCCCCCACCACGATCCCAGGCTGATGCGCGGTCCCGGCGGCCCTAAGAAGGTAAGTTTGAAGGAGCTGGTAGTGGAAGGCTGCTATGGCAGCATCAGCTTGTTTGGGTAAAAGCTGACGGCCTTTGTAGGAAATTAAGCGCCGGACGAAGACAGGCTGCCTGACGTGCCGCAAGCGTCGCATCAAGGTCAGTAGTAATTTGGTGTTATTCCATGGCCTCTATCGCTCTTTTTCCTCTTTTTTTTCTTTTCCATTTTTTGCTTTTTTTTTCCTCTTTTCTTCTTTTGATCTTGTTCCCTTTTCTGCCCCCTCCCCCCTTTTCACCCTCAATGAAATGCCCCAATGAAATAGGCGATTTTATGGCAGTGGAGACTGTTTTTCTGGGCACCTGCCAAAAGGAGTGCAACACCAGTTGAGGAAAAGAGGGAATGTGACCATGGACAAAGAAACATAAAGTTTTCGATAAGCGAATCCAGTCGTGGTTTCTCAAGGCAAAAGGGTGGGAAAAAAACGGTCGCTTGACGTTCGCTTGAGCTCGAGCTACTGCGAAGCGAGGACGGGAGCCCGTGGACCACGTTCCGGGATCGCGCCCGCGGCTGCGCGCCCGCAGGGAGGAGCAATCTTCCGTTCCTGCAGAACTGACCGCCGCCCGCTGAGCACTGCCCCTCCCATCCCTTCTGGGAAGAGGAGGCGCCTAAGCCTCAACCTGTCAGGACGCCTCTCGCTTCGCCTCGCCTCGCCTCGCCTCGCCTCGCCTCGCTTCGCACCTTCCACCTCCAAGAACCCCCTCCCCCTCCCCAACTCCAGCCACCGTCGACCTTGGCTATTGGCTAGCTTAGCTTAAGCCTCGCCCGCGACGCCGCCGCTTGACTTCATCCCAACTAACATCGCCTCATCTCACTTTACCTGAACCTCATCATCATCCCCGACTCGCAGTCACCTCTACGGGCAACGGCACCAGCAACTCTGCGATTGCCAAACCCAAAGCCCCTCCCCTTCAAAACTGTTCATTTTTTGCCGTCGAGAGACCCGTCGTTGATTGATATAACCTGATATCTTATTCGATCATCATTGAAGGTTACTTTTTCTAATCATCTCTCAGTGCGACGAAGCTCACCCGACTTGCAACAATTGCAAAAAGTCGAAGCGCGAGTGCTTGGGTTACGACCCTATTTTCAAGCAGCAGCCGGGCCCCTCCGCCATCCAGCCCGCCCCAAATACCCAACGAGTACCGACCCCGACCATCCCGTCTGTGCCTTCGTCCGTTCCGCCAACGGTCCCGACTGTGCCCTCGACCCCCGCCGTACCTTCAGTGCCTGTGCCGGTTTCCTCGTCAAACCCCTACGGTGCTCAGCCGGCCGTCTTGCCCAGCTCGTACAACCCTCCCATACCCTCTTCTCACTCGCCTCTCGACCCGGCTCTCTCCTCAACCGCGTCCAGCGTTAAGACCGAGACGACGTACGACTTCGCCGCACCCATAGATCCTGCTTTGCAGACCTTACCCGTCCCGGCTACCGTACCCTCCGTTCAGGCTCACTCGTTCCCCGGCGAACAAAGGGCAGGCTTCGACAACCATCTCAGAGGTGCGACGCTCCCGCAATCATTGTACATGCCTTGTTCTCTTTCAGCAGTTGCTCTGTCCCAAGTCTCGTATACTGACTGTGACCACGTAGCCAAAAATATGAAGTTCGATGACCTCATCGGCCTCCTGGGCCCTGCCGCTCCCACCCAGGAGATTGCCCTCACCCCGGAGCTCCTTACCGAAATCATCAACATCTACCGCGAAGTCTACGCCGTTGGCCTGCAAGCCTTTTTCGAATCCAATTGGTTCCAGAAGCAGGATGTCCAGGGCAAGTTCTTTCTCGAGCATAGCCAGCCCCTCCTCAGCCAATTCGCTTCTTTCCTCAAGGTCGTCCAGTCTGTGCCGGCCAATGACCACACCCAGATGGCGCATTCTGGGGTCCTCGAGACGCGTTTGATTTGGGCGCTGGCTACCCTGCCGTGTAATAGCGCTCCCCCCTCAACGAACGCTGAGGCCAAGATCCTGCCGCACCCCGAGGACCTGACGGAAGCAGCCAACCGAGTCAAGGTGCTGGAGGCTCTTCTCTCCGGTGACTTCCTACCCTCAAATATTCTTGCTCCTCCGGTCCCTGATGCGAACCCTCACCGCCAACAGGAGTTTGAGTTCTGGCACAACTTGGCTCAGTACTTGTGCTACCATGATGCCGCCAAGCGCGACGAGGTCCTTGGCCGGCTGAGACTCCAGCTAGGCGGCAGGGAGAACCGTGATCTCATCTATTCCATTGCCATTTCGCGCGAGCTTTCTCCACGTGTTGAACCAGGATTCGAAAGGAACATTCCCAAACACCTGGACGAATCCGATCCTAAGAACCGGTTATGGGTTGCCAACAAGTTCATCCAGGATGAGGCACAGGTCACTGGCGGGACGACTAACATTGTCCGACGATTCAGCGAGATTGCCATCCGAGCCTACATCAGTCCTGGCGTGAACATTGCGGTACACTCCAGTCCGATTTCAGCACAGCCTTGATCATTCAGGCCAGAATATTCTTAATTCAGCATTTCACACTCTGTAGCGTCTTTCAGGCTCAGGGACAGCGGGGGGAGAACAAAAAAAAGTGGTTTTTTTTTTCCCTTTTCAAAGGCGTTACCAGGAATGGAAGTAAAGCATAGCTTTCGATTTTTATTTTTTTGAAATTTTCCATTTCCTTTTTTCAGGCGGTTGCATGCGAGCCAGCACTATGCTGCTCGTCCTATAACTCTTTTACAGTCAGCATCCTTGTATAAGTATTCCCATCCTTAAAATTAGTCATATTCCAGCATGGCGGGCGGTACAGAGGAAAGAAAGAAAAGTGGCTTTTTTTTTCGTTTCAGATGCGGCTAATCAGTGGGAGGTGGTTGCAGGCGGGTGCCATCCTTATTCCACGCCTTCGTGGGCATGGCATACGTTGTCATAAGGTCCCGGGCATAGCCTGCCCTCTATGTACGATACTAGATAGCAGATTCACCCGGATTCTAGGACAGGACACCGGTATGAATCAAGAAATACAAAGCCTTTTGCAATTATCAACTTGGTTTCCTGCGTTGGAGGCAAAACCTGGCAGTATGCGGAGGCCTGCATATGTAGTTTGAGAGGTACAGCGGCCCGGGATTGCGATGAATACGTCAGATGCAACCGACTGTGCGACGCTACAGGGACTCCTCAGAGAGAGAGGGAGAGATGGATCGGCCTTCTCTATTCAAGTTGAATTGGTGCTTCCTCGGTCCCGGTTGGCTCGGGCCAGTGCCGGATCAAATTGGGCGGGACGCGGGGAAGTCGGAGGAGTCCCCCGGCGGAAGGGTCGCGGAAACACCGCTGACGCTTGGAGATTACAGAGCTTTGCGTTTTCAGGGCCGCGGCAAGTCTCAGTCTCTTTTTTGCCTGATATATATATACTTTTCCGTCTTGTAAACACGCGATCTCCCCATTACAGGTCGATATCCGCCGAGGCGGCGGCACTCCGAGCTCCAATTGAGTTTAGGTACCCCCCCTCACCCCGCCGATCGTCATCCCCCCGCCCTCTTCGCCCACCATCATTCAAGCTAGTCGTGCGACGACTCGACGGGCCGAGATAGGCATATCCCGCGCCCGGGGTTTGGAGGGGCATTTGTCTTTCGTTAACGACATTCGCTCCCTCATACTTTCTCCGTACCCGGTGCCTTTTTTTTTTCTCTCTTTTTCTTTTTCTTTTTTTATTGAATGTTACCGCACAACCCCTCAAGTCTTAATCCTCAATCCCCCCCGGTTTGATATCGAGTGTTTGGTCAACGTGCGAAAGGCGATTGGGCAAGTACGCATCACCTCCAAATATGCCCGCCGCCCACCTTTCGTCTCTCGAGGGAACCCATGCCGACATCGGACGGACGGATGCCCATAACAGAAATGATCCATTGCTGACCAGGCTTCATAGAGAGTTCGACTCTCGGCTATCGATTCGCACAGACAACTGAGTGCCCGTTACCGTAACCATGTCGAGACCCAAGGTCCTCCAGCTGGGCGAGATTGAGCAGTACGTTGACCCCGCCGTCACCCCTCCCCGTTCTTCGCCTCGCTCCCTCCTCCCGCGGCCCGAGCTAACACGCCCCCGCAAGCGCCCACGAAGCCTGGTCCGGGCTGAGCTCCGTCGCGGACATTGTCAAGCCCAAGGCGACCAGCCGCGCCGAGTTCCTCGACGAGTGCAGGTCCGGCGCCTTCGACGGCGTAAAGGCCATCTACCGCACGTTCGCGAGCGTCAGGACCACGGGGCGGATTGACGCCGAGCTGCTTGCCGCGCTGCCCGAAAGCGTAGGCTTCATCTGCCACAACGGTAAACCCCCCCCCCCCCCCCCCTCTCCTCTACCTTTCCGCGAAGAGAGACGACCGCTCCCCCTTACACTAGAACATCTGGGCCCGCGCCGACGCTGACACGCCGCGACGACCAGGCGCCGGCTACGACCAGATCGACGTCCCGGCCTGCACCCCGCGCGGCATCCTCGTCTCCAACACCCCGACCGCCGTCGACGACGCCACGGCCGACATCAACATCTGGCTCATGCTCGGCGCCCTGCGCAACCTCAACGCCTCCGTCCTCTCCCTCCGCGCCGGCCGGTGGCGCGGCGACCCGCCCCCGCCCCTGGGCCGCGACCCCCAGGGCAAGGTCCTCGGCATCCTCGGCATGGGCGGCATCGGCCGCAACTTCGCCCGCAAGGCCGCCGCGTTCGGCATGCGCGTGCGCTACTTCAACCGGACCCGGCTCGACCCGGCCCTCGAGGCCGAGTGCGCCGCCTCTTATGTCGACTTTGAGACGCTGCTGCGGGAGAGCGACGTCATATCCCTCAACCTACCTCTGAACGTAAGTCCCCCTTCCTCCTCATCTCTTCTTATCCGCTTCCCCCATTCACCCCCAGCCCATCCCCCTTTCCCTTATACTCTCCCACCGGATGTTCATATGCTTCTACAAAAGGAAGAGCGCAAGAAAGAAAAAAAGAAGAAAAAAAAAAAGAGAGAGAGAGAGAGAGAGAGAGAGAGAGAGAGAAAGGGAGAGAGAGACATGGCTGACCGGTACCCAGTCCCACACGCGCCACACCATCTCCCACGCGCAGTTCGCCCAGATGAAGCCCGGCGTCGTCATCGTCAACACGGCGCGCGGCGCCGTCGTCGACGAGGCCGCCCTCGTCGACGCCCTCGCGTCCGGCCGCGTCGCCAGCGCCGGCCTCGACGTCTTCGAGAACGAGCCCGAGATCCACCCGGGCCTGCTCGACAACCCCAACGTGCTGCTCGTGCCGCACATGGGCACCTGGACGATCGAGACCAGCCTCAAGATGGAGGAGTGGGCCATCGGCAACGCGCGGCGGGCCGTCGAGGAGGGGCGGCTCAACAGCGTCGTCGTCGAGCAGAGGGATCTGGCGAAGACGGGATGAGGGCAAGAGAGCGTGATAGAATTAGAGAGAGAGAGAGAGAGAGAGAGAGCCCCTATCTGTCGGTGCCGCTGGGGAGTGTCGTTGGCAGTCCGGTTCACAATGCGCTGAACCTAGTCCGGCCACTTATAAGCATTTTTTGAAAGCAAGGTTTCACTGAGCTCGAAAGCTACCATCTCTGCAGCCGGCGAGATTGAATAATGTAGATAGCGCTAAATAAGCCTGCAAACGATATTTACACGCATGCTGAGGGTACGAGTCAGTGTGTTTATCAGATCAACAACCAAGAGGGCTACACAAACTTGAAGGCATGGGATGCCGCAATCACCAACAGCAAAAGGGAAACACCGTCAAGTCACCCACATTGTAACCGGTAATCACTAGTGCAGAGAACATCAAGTTTTTGCTCACAGGACGCATATATTCGTCTATGCGGACCACGGTTGACGGGTCCCAGTCCTCGAAGCTAATCTACCTTTGTACCCTTATTTCCCATATCCGGGGGTTGAGTCCCTGTTTTGTCCCGCTCCCAGAAGTCGGGCCGACGAAAAAACAAAATACAAAATGCCATCGTCTGGGGAATCACTATTCACAAGCCAACGCCTAATTTTTGTTGAAAAATCTCGCAGCCAGGCAAACCCCCAAAGCTTTTAGAGTTTCCAGCCCGTAACCGCCCCCAGCCGAGATTCCCTTTCCCAGATGTGTCATGCAAGTCATGCTGTTGAGAACACACGTTGCCCAATGTTATAGTGTACGCTCGTTGAAGTCGTTAATCAAAATATTGCGGAAATCCAGTGGCAAGACTGGATGTAAAAAGAAGGCCACTTAGTAGCGGTAGATGTCGCTCTTGTAGGGACCCTCAACGGCGATGCTGAGGTACTCGGACTGGACCTTGCTGAGCTTGGTGAGCTCAACGTTGCAGTGGGACAGGTGAAGTCTAGCGACCTCCTCGTCGAGGACCTTGGGGAGGACGTAGACGCCGACATCGAGCTTGCCGGCCTTGGCAAACTCGACGTACTTCTGGCCCCAGGCGGCGTCACCGTTCTTGTACAGCATGATCTGGGCAAGGACCTGGTTGGTGAAGGAGCAGGACATGACGAAGGAAGAGTGACCAGTGGCACAGCCAAGGTTGACCAGGCGACCCTCGGCGAGGAGGATGATGTGACGACCGTTCTTCATGAGGAAGCGGTCGACCTGGGGCTTGATGTTCTGGACGCTCTGGGCGTTGGCCTTGAGCCACGCCACGTCGATCTCGATGTCGAAGTGACCAATGTCTGTGTAAAGAAGTGGTTAGCAAAAAAAAAGAGTGTGCAAAGAGCCCCGGAAACCCGGGAGACTTGTGGTGTGTACTTACTGCAGACAATGGCATCGTTAGGCATAGCCTCGAAGTGGACGCCAGTCAGGATGTCACGGCAACCGGTGGTGGTGACAAAGATCTGGCCGCGGGAGGCAGCCTTCTCCATGGTGGTGACCTCGTAGCCGGCCATGGCGGCCTGGAGGGCGTTGATGGGGTCGATCTCGGTGACGATGACACGGGCACCCATGGTGTGCAGGGCCTGGGCGCAGCCCTTGCCGACATCACCGAAGCCAGCAACGACGGCGATCTTGCCGGCAACCATGACGTCGGTGGCACGCTTGATGCCGTCAATGAGAGACTCGCGGCAGCCGTACAAGTTGTCGAACTTGGACTTGGTGACGGAGTCGTTGACGTTGATGGAGGGGACAAGGAGCTTGCCGTCCTTGAGCATCTTGTAGAGGTGGTGGACACCGGTGGTGGTCTCCTCAGAGACACCGTAGCAGCCCTTGAGCATCTCGGGGTACTTCTCGTGGACGAGGTGGGTCAGGTCACCACCGTCGTCGAGGATGAGGTTGAGCTTCTGGCCATCCTTGAAGGCAGTCAGCTGCTGCTCCAAGCACCAGTTGTACTCCTCCTCGGTCTCGCCCTTCCAGGCAAAGACGGGGACACCGGCGGCAGCAATGGCAGCAGCGGCGTGGTCCTGGGTGGAGAAGATGTTGCAGGAAGTCCAGGTGACCTCGGCACCGAGAGCAGTGAGGGTCTCGATGAGGACGGCAGTCTGGATGGTCATGTGCAAGCAACCGGCAATGCGGGCGCCCTTGAGGGGCTGGTCGGCGGCGTACTTGGCACGGGTCTGCATGAGACCGGGCATCTCGTTCTCGGCGAGCTCAATCTCCTTGCGGCCGAAGGCAGCCAGAGAGAGGTCGGCGACCTTGAACTTGGTGGCGGGGGCAGCCATTGTGAAGTGTGTTTTGTTGGTAGAGGTAGTGGATTTGGTTGGGGAGAGGGATGGAGGGGAGAAAAGATGGGAGAGATGGGAAAGAGAGAAAGCGAAGGAGAAGAAGAAGGAGACGGAGGATTTAAAGGTCGACGGAGGGCAAGGGGTAAGGGAGGTAGAAGGAGCAAAAAAATAAAATAAAAATAAAACAGGGACCTTAGAGGTAAGGAGACATAGGTCGGCAAGGCAAGGCAAGTATGGAGGGGTTCAGGCACACGGAACGGTTGGAAAGAATGGCAGGAACGGGCAGGGCGGTGAGTATGGGAATGTGTGTGTGTGTGTGTGTGTGTGTGCCTGCCTGCCTGTACGGATACGCGGCGCACTGTCGTCCTGACACTGGAGAGGGGGGGAAATCTCTGCTGTCTTTTCTGCCTTTTTTCCCCTTTCCCGACGCGAGAAATCCTGTCTAGTCAGTCAGTCAGTCACGGAAGTCCAATCACCAAACACAAGAGGTACTCCGTCGCGAAGAGCGGGCGGTTTGACGAGGAGGGGAGTGGAGGGGTGGGAGAGGGGGACACGGAGACTTGGGAGCACAGAGGCGGGGCAAAAAAGTTCAACGAGGTGCAGACGCTGCAGACGAGTGTGGCAGGCCAGGTGGGGATCTTGGAGAGGAGCCGCTCACTCTACTGGTCATTTGCTCCGCGAGACTTTGCAAGCTGACACGATGGCAAGAGGTATATTGCTCTCTCTTCCGTGTCAGCTTCTGATAGTGTACAGACAGGGCAGAAGAGGAGCTACGGACATGACTTGGAGTCTCATTCAGTTGCCAGCAGCTCCAACCCAATACACTTGAGCATCCCCTCACATGGTTAGACTATCCCTAGGTAGGTAAGGGTCTAGGTAAATGCACCACCAAGCTCAGGTACGCCAATCGCATACCTACCTACATAGTAGGTAGGTAAGTATCCAACAATGGCAGCCCTCTATCAATTTCGATACCTTTTGCCGATCCTGTCGCTGCCAGGTATGCTTCTCCTGTGGACTATTTTCAACAAAGCATTGCGGTGAAGGGAGGGGTCCGCCCCGGTTCTCACTCCGATGTCTCACTCATGCACGCGAGGGGAAGGGGGTTAGAGGCTTCCACTCAACGGTCAAGACGCTCTGGCTCGCGGTTGTCTCATCCAACGTATTCAATTGGCGATTTGCATCTTCTCCTTCAAGCCCAAGGTCCAACGCCCATTTGCAAAATCCATACGGCTACAATAGGCACCGCACATGGGAGGTAAGTAAGGGAGGGGGTAGCTAGACCCAAGGGAGCAAAGCTCGAGAATGAGCTGTCCCAGCTTCGTCCCAGGACCCTCCCTCCAATGTACCTCGAAATACCACTGTGTAGATAGCTCAGTCGCTCGGTAAACCGGGTCAAGGTTAAGGCAAGTCAGTCAATCCCAGCCTCGTGCTCGCTGATGAGGCGGGAAGATGAATTATCTGTATCCGTACGTTTGTGCAAAAACAGAGCATCCTTCTCGCCTCTGGCTGGGGTCGGCCTGCTCGGAGGTAAGCTAAGGTAAGGTTAGGTCGGGTACCGCAAAAGGCGGTACAAAAGAAAAAGGTACATTAGTCCCGCCTGTTCCAACGGTAATATGAGTGTAGATCAGAAGAGGGGCCAGGTACCTAGGTACCCTTGTGAGGAGGGGGAGCTGCCCCTCACTGCTCTTTTTCTTCCCCCCTCCCTTTTGGCAGGTGGTGCGTAGCCCAGGCGTGCCGTCGAGACTCGATTTTAGAGGTCGATAAGCCAATCGCTTTCTTGTTTCCCCTTGTTTTATCGTTTCCTGCCGCTAATCCTCTTTCGGCTGGGAGCACTGCGAAACCCCTCGATTCTGCCTGCCCGCCGGTGATTTGACCTCCCACCAGCGTCGTGCGTGGTCTTTGACTCTTTGTCCACGTCGTCCTCCCCCCCCCGCCTCCAGTCGCATCCGAATTTCTCGACTGGCCTCTACCTGCACCCGGGGCCCCTCAACGGAGGTAAACAAACTCTAGCCGGCAACACCTAAGCTCAGAAATGTAATGCAGCGCCCATAGGTAGATGGGATGACTCGGTCCGAGGTGCGGGCATGACAAGCATCGCGTCAATAACGAGGCTGCCAAGACCGGCCTAACCGGCGCACAAAAGTCTCTTGATGTGTGATCAATGTGATTTGTTTTTTGTTTGTGTTTTTTTCATGTTCGATATAGTCAAGGCATGAATCTCTAGATAGTCTCGGAGACGTCGTGATAGCGAGAACTATGCCTATGCGGCAGAAGCTTCGCTCCGCATAATTCTCGCTCGCATACTGGCAAGCCTCGCCCCGTGGCTCTGGTGCTCGAAATGCCTTCTCCCAGACCGCAACAGCCTCGCTCTACAAGACCCCTTCCTCCGGCAAATCACCTTACATCTTGGAGTGAATCCCGACGTGCCTGGTCAACGTGGAGCCGACCATCGTGAAGTGGCCGCCCCCAGGATGGAGGAACCGTCGATCGCGCTGGTATACAGGAAAAGACATCGAATATCGACTCAGTACACACTGCCTGGGACTAATTACCGTAACGCCGTTTCGAATGCTTGATCCGCTCCCGAGATCATTCATCATTCCCAGAACACCTGTTCTCTAAGGTAATTCCACTCATGTTTTGTGTCTGCCCCTCGCCTTCTTTTTCCACGCATCACCCTCCGTCTCTGCTCTTCTTCTCGTCCGTCCGACATCCCTTCCGACGAACCGCAAGGATTAGACCTGAGCCCGGCTTTACGCGTCCATCTAAGCACGCTTGGGCAACAGGTTCTCCCTGGCGGCGAACATCTTGGCGCTGATGTTGGCCGTGAATCCGTCCACCTGCTTGCTGTACTGCTCCACCTGCTTCGCGTTCAGCATGCCCTCGAGCCTGCTGGGCTCCTGGGGCAGCTTGAAGAGTCTCTGCCACTCGTCCTCGGGCAGCGGCGTCTGCTTGGCCGCCGCGCGCGCCGCGTTCTCCGCCTTGCGTTTGGTCTGCCACTGCGCGATCTTGGCCTGCTCACGACCGAGCTGGCGCTGGTAGAACTGGAAGTTGTTGAGGTCCGTGTAGTGCGACTCGATGCTCTCGAGCAGGAGGTCGCACGTCTTCTCGAGGAAGGGGTCTATCGAGAGGTCGAGGTTCTCCACCGACGGGTGCAGCTGCTGCTTGATGGGGTCTTCGCGCAGATCCGACAGGGAGTTGGGCGGCTCGATCTTGTCCTGCTGGGGGAGACCGGGGAGCTGGTGAAGGAACGAGGTCAAGAGGTGGGTGTTGTGAATCTCGACGGGGAGCTCGGCAAGGATGTCCTTGAAGGTGAGCTTGGAGGCTTTCAAACTGTACATGATTACGTTAGCACTGCGACGACCCAGACATCTCCGTGACCATTGCAATTGTTTATGACGTACCTCTCGGTCGTGAACTTGCCCTCCTTGTAGGCGGCCATGAAGGTCGGGGTGAGCTTGAAGGCGCGCAGGCTGAGGGAGCCCTGGGAGCTGCGGCTGACGTCGTGGACGAGGGCGACTGTCCGCTCGTTGTCCTTCTGGTAGTGGTACTGGTTCTCGATGAAGCTGAGGTTGACAAAGTTGCCCATGGCGGCGCTCGTGTACCAGCCGACGTTGTTAGCGTCGACATTGACCTCCTTCAGGTGTTTGATCATCTCGTTCTGGTAGACGATGTTGGCCTTCTGGCGGGGGGCGGCAGAGGCGATGGCCGAGGCGTCGTTGCTGCTGTTGCTGCTGTTCTGGTGGCTGTCGGTGTTTGCGACGTCGACCGTGGGGAACTGGAAGGTGTTGGTGATCTCGAGGAGGCCATCCGAGTCCATGCCGACGATAGAGCCGGTCGCGGTCGTGGGGAAGGTCTGGGAGCCATGCTTGACGATTTTCATAACCACCTGGAGACGCAACAGTATCAGCAGCTGTCTCTTTCTCACCTTCCCATATGCCCAGCCATCACCACGTAGCACAGAAGCCACAAGTGAGGAGAGAGGTGGGGCAGGATTCGGTGCAGGACTCACAAGGGCCTCAACGCGAACCGCCTTGAGCGGCACCTCCTTGATAACGTCACCCATGCTTGCGATGCGATACGATCAGAGGTATTCTTGTGCAGGTCCAAAGATTCCTGGCTTATTTCGAGTCTGCGGCTGAGGGATCGATGGAATCGCGTACTTGGCGGTCGAGTTTCGAAGGGGGGCCGTCTCGTCGTGATGCGAAATATCGAACTTTTCGCCTAGGAATTGTGTGAGGGATTGTGGGCTGTCGGGCGGTGAGCGTCGGCAGAACTTCGCTCAATAGTGTCGGCTGTCTGTTTTGCACTCACACCCCCCTCTTCCGGCTAATTCGCATCCACACACCTGGCCGACGACCGCCGCGGCCGCCGTCTTTCGCACACGGTGAATCCGTAACAGATCCCACACGCCACATCCAGAATGGGAGAGCATCCCACACATGCCCCCACGCCGAAAGCACTCACATGGAGTTTAAATTCAACGTCGTCTCATCCTGCCGGCTTACGCCTTTCTCATCCTGTTTTCTTCCTCGAAAGCTTGCTCATTCTACTCGCCCACTCTAGAGCATCATTTTGCGATATCACTCGTGGGGTATTATATGCCTCCGGCGGGTTACGCGTGCTCACAAAAGCAGATGCGGCACATCGTTGTCTTGGCCCAACCGCGGCATGTTGACAATTCGGTTTGCGATGAGAGTCCACAAGCTAAATTTCCAGGATTAAAAGGAAAACTGATGAGAGTTATCAAATGCGTCCATATGTTACGCAGTCTATCGCGAAATCAAGTCATGTTCTCGTGGCTGTATGATGCTATCCCGGATGCGCCCATGAGTTACCCAATGCCGTCCACCGTACGCCCTGTTTGTCGGTGTGTTTTCTTCCTCGTGCTCATTGCTCTAGCCCAATTGCGACATGCGTTCCAACCAAATTCTCAAACGCCACCAATCGCCACTTTTCGCCTGCCCGGCAAATACTTCCGGACGCTCTTAGTCAACCCAATCGACAATCTCCCAGCTCTCAGCGCCATCACCGATGACCAATCGGTGCCGATCAATCCGCCAGAACGAGTACATGGATGCTGTCGCACGGCTTGCCCTACGATGGGCAGGGCCATGGCCTGCCTTGACGGCATCGGGCCTCGACCTCCACACGCAGGTTGCGAGGTTTCTCCCTTCCGAATCAGGACTTCCAAACCAGTACCTGTCGATGGTCAGTCGGTCTTTGTTCTCTTTGTTGGTGCGCGAAATTCTTAGTCTCTCTCACTTCAGGAACCCTCCGGCTTGGTTGGCCTCGGCGTGTGCGGCCTTGTCCAGAATGCCGAGGTTTTCGTACACTGTCGACGGGGGAATTGTTGAGCGGAACGCAACGATGTAAAAGGAAGTTTCCTTAAATGTTTTCCCCGTAGATTGGACGAGACTTTTGAGTTCGCGCATGACATCTCCCCAGTTAAAGGACTCGACATAGTCGGCTGTAGCGTAGTCGGCACGGAGGCACTCCATCCGAGATAACGCCCTGGCAAGGAGCACGTTCTCGTCGTCGAGAGTATCGAGATCTAGCAAGTGCTCCGGGTCCGTGTAAGGCGAATGAACCAAGAACCTGTCGGTGTTGTTGATGTCGCCTTCGTCAAGATTGACGACTGTACCCTCTTTGATCTTCTGGGTAAGGGGGTCAGCAACCGCGAAGGGTGCCGTGCTTACAATGGCTGTCATGGCGAGAAGTTGGATGAAAGCTATCTAGTTGCTGTGAAGGGACGTCCAGTGGATGAGTTAGGGGCCGGCCGAAGATGCGAGCAAAGATTACTCCAAGAGTTGCTACCTGAACTCTAGTGCTGTGGCTTAATGACAAGGGTTTGGCTGGTGTTGTTCGATGAAGCAGGCGTTGTTGGCCTGTGTAAGGGGCGGTTATATCTCAGAGAAGACCGGCAGAGGCGGCGAGGGTTGTGGGAGTCTGAGATCAGCTTGCAGATGGAAAACGACGAAATGGCATGAGAAGAGAAAACGAGCGTGGCATTGAAATATAAGAACAACCAAGAGCCTAGAGTTAGGACGTGTCGGCAAGGGGCATCGAGGAAACGTCTTTTTGACACGGAATTGCCTAACCCAAGCCTGGTGGGTCGGGAGACTAGTACACCGTCGGGCGACTCTGGGCGAGTCAAGACCAGCTGATTACACGGTGTGCCAGTCAAAGGAGCGGTCTTCGTCCCTCGGTCATTTGTTCAGGGACCCCTTCTTTTTTTTTTTTTTTTTTTGCATAGGAAAGGTGCGAGCTGGGCGGGCCGTCCATGGATCGTCTCATTAAAAAAGAGAGACTTGCCGGATGTTTGTATTGCATGGGCAGAGAAAAGCACGGAACAGCCACTGTGCCATAGGTGGATGGCGCAATCAGGCGCGGTTCTGATGCCAGCGACGCAATTTCGATCTGGTGACAACGCACGCCGCCATGGAATTCTGGCTTTGGATTTTGCGGGCACAGCTTCTACGCTACGTAGGTCTACAAGCCAGACGGGTCACCTTCGCAGGCAGGCAGAGACGGTAGCAGAGAGAGAGAGTGTGTGTGTGTGTGTGAGAGAGAGAGAGGCAGAGGCCGAGACTTGTGCTAAACTACCTAACGAGTAAGTATGGCTTGTTGCAAAAACAGGATGGATGGGCAAACTACCTAGGCGTATACTGACATACCATGTTATTACTACTTATTACCTACCTAGCTAGGTAGACAGCGGGACAATATGGTCCCCCGCAATCTTCAGCGACGCTACACCGAGCCATGACCAACAAACCCGTCTAGTCGGAGTCTAGTCGGATGGCTAAGGGAGCCTAAGAATGAGGTGATGGAAGTAAACAGACGAGGTGCAGTTTCGCATTCATTCATCCACCTTTACCTGCCCTCTTCCGGACTATAGCACAGTACATGCTCTTTACCTGTAGCCGGAGGGTATCCATCCCGTTGAGGCACAATTACATACTGAGGAAGTTAGGGTAGGGTAGGTATTGTAGCCTGTAGGTACTCGACTGACTGGCCTACCCCGGGTTCCCCCAGACCTTGGCCGTGCCACAGATCTGGCTTGGCTCAGCCATGAAGCCACGCGACGTTTCGAAGACGGCACTGGTCCCTTTTGCTTTCGGGATTTTTTTCTTGATCTTTTTCTTATTCTTTTTCGTCTTCAAGCAAGTCCCGTATATGTACACCACGCTGAACTCTCCTTGCGTGTCTTTCGCCTTCTCTCGATTACGACGTATTCTTTCTGCACAGATATGATCCACAGCTAGGTACCTCTAGGGATGCATACAGTACGAGGCCGGCATACCATGCCGTCACCGCTTCTTGCGCCGGCGCCGACGCAATCCCGCGTGCATAATTCATGCAGCTTCCCCGGCCTATCACAATCCCTCAACGACATTTGCTTCGTCCTTCCCTCGTGTGAGCCAGACTTTTGACATCTCGTACGTCCCCAAGTACAAGCCGCTGCCAACAGCCGTCCACACCGAGCGCAGCCCTCCACCGCGGAAGAGCCCACGAACGCCGTTCTGCCGATAAACATCTCGCGTCACTTCCAGGGTACCTCGTCCCTTCTTAGGCTTCGGCGCATCGCCAGCCTCCCTCGACGGAGCTCCCCCTCTGTCGTTTCCTCCACTAGCCTCGCCAGCGCTCAGCATCATACGCGTCTTAACGACATCGCTCGGCGTCGTGATGAACGCGGCTAACGCTCCCGCAGCCCCGGCGCTGGTCCCCGTCACCACCGCTGTCTCGATGAGTCCCCGTTCCTCGCCCGGCCCCCTCCTCCGCGTCCTCGAGTCCCACGCCGTCTTCTGCAAGTATTCAAATATGGGGAACTGGATCGCCGTGAAGGGCAGGTTGCGCGCGACCAGCGCCGTGTATCCGGAGAACAGCCGTCTTTGGGCCCCGGAGCTGGTGACTTGGCGCAATGCTTCGAGAGATGTTGATCGTCTGCCACTTGACCCGCTGCTGCCGCTCTCCTTCCGACGGAGCATTTGCGCGTTTTGCTTGATTACCTCGGCGGGCGCAAGTACTAGACATGAACCCATCTCGGCGATGGCCGAGGCCAAGGAGTGCCCCAACGGTTGCGGGACCGAGCCGGTCTTGGAAATCGTCTTCTTCATGCTCTCGTACGTGGCGAAAAAGATGCCAGCTTTAGGTTTACAATCCCAGAATCAGTCAGTATGCCCATGTTCGAATGTCAGGCTTGCGAACGACTGGAGTGCAGGAGCGAGTGCCCACCTGCTGGTAATGTTGCCAAGATGACACTCCCAATGCCCTGGTATAGGCCGCGAAAGAGCGGTGCCTTGTTGCCTGGCGAAGAGGCATAGGTCTGGACGAAATCCCGGCTTTGGTACCGGGTCTTGAGGGTGTCGAGAGGGTAGACCAGGCAGTCTACTGTGAATGCTGCCACAGCACCAGCCTGGAGTTGTCAGTCAGATGCCTCCTGGTTCACCCATGACAAGCGAAGGCCATCGATACCGGTAAGACGGTCGATGAAGAGGTATGTATATCTTAGACGACTTACTGCGTATATCTCATACATGATGTCGAGTCCTTGCGTTTGGCTTCCTTTCGGATCCAGTAGGTTCTCAAGCAACAGCAATGCATCTTGAAAGAAAAGCAGGACGCTGTGGGTTTGGTAAGGTCACTCGAGCAATGAATGACATCATATTTGACTGTATCGAGACGGGGCTTCTAGGAGCTATTTTACCGGCGAGCATACTGCCTGTTTTCCATAGCGAGAGCAATAAATAGTCTTCCTGGTTGTTTCCGAGAAAAATCTCAGCTCCTGGCGCTCTTGTTGCATTGTGAGTCAAATGAACATCAGTTTGCGGAAGAGAAACAATTGGAAATGGGTGTGGCAGCAGCATCGCAAGGTACCCTACCTACCCACCACCCTTACCAGGCATCTTGCATTGTGGCCAAGGGTGGATCCTTGATTACCTAATTCGAGTAGAGATAAGATAAAGAAATTTGAGTGCCCCGCCCCCGCCATGCGTATCAGTTGCCATGTGGTGGTGCACCGGCGTTGCGATTGACTCTTACCAAACTTTTTTTTATATCTTTTTTCCCCGGCTGTCTCCTCCTTGCGCAAACTCGACAGCTCCGACACGCCCACGTATTCACATCCGGTCAAGCACAAAACATGGCCAGCATTACCGAAATGGAGGCTGAGGCCCCCCACAACAACTTCGACGTATGTAGTACCCATACCGAAAGTGGCCAGCCTAAATGGCCCTCCTGGGTTCACGATCTCTTGCTGCGCTGTCTCCCACCACCGTCACGATGCTACGACCAGCCCATGCCCCGAAGCTGCCTACGATATCCCCACGTATCTTTCTTCACAAAGTGAACAAGAATCATACAAGGAACTGGATATCAAATATCGCAGGAAAGACCGGGAAACAGACGTTGATCTGGCTATGGTCGCGTCCCGACACATGTGGTATCCATGCGCGGTATCTTCCAGTTGCATAGGCAGTTGGCCCACTACGACTGAACAAGATTACTATCAGACATCGCACAATACTCGCTACACTTAAAGTACGGTTCAAGCTTGGGCAGCTACGGGGCAAGCGGTATCAGGCGGTCCAGCGGCAGCGGGCAAAGCCATAAGCGGCGAATAGCACAGTCGCGATGGTAGTCGCTAAGAAATGAACGTATGGTTTGCTGACATTGACTGTCACAGACTATCCTCGTTCTCGACTTTGGTTCGCAGACGAGCCATCTCATCCTGAGACGCCTGCGTGCCCTCAAGGTGTACGCTGAGATGCTGCCATGCACCACGAAGCTGGCGGATCTCCCCTTCAAACCGAAGGGTATCGTGCTTTCCGGAGGTATGCGGCTTCTTAGGGCTTTCTCATGTTGTGATACGGCACCGGTACTATATCCTTAGCTTACTGACAATGAACAGGGCCCTCGTCCGTCTACGATCAGGGCGCGCCCCGTAAGGTTTCCCTCTTGTACACAGCGTGAAATTTGTACTGAATTGTTCTAAGATGTTGACCCTGCCGTCTTCGATCTCGGTGTCCCGATTCTGGGCATTTGGTATGATTGCCTTTGTCCTCGGCGGCGGTTATATGCTAATCCCGAGTCTCCAGCTACGGTTGCCAGGTAATATCCTTCTGCCCTCAGTGAGCCCTGCGATAGTAGGATGCGTTCACCTTACAGGCCTATGGAAGATTCCTTGCCAGAACATGGATTAATTGTAGTACAGGAGCTTGCTTGGAGGATGAACTCCGAGAACGTCGCCCGTGGCGCAGCCCGAGGTTCGTGAACCAGAAGAAACCTGCCAGGAAGGAACATGCCATCTGACTATTCGATTGCTGTGTAGAGTACGGTCACGCTGATGTTACCATCCACAACTCGGGCAATTCCCACACGGATCGCCTCTTCGCGGGTCTAGGAGAGACTATGCATGCCTACATGTCCCACTTCGACAAGCTCGTAAAGCTGCCTGAAGGCTTTGCGGTTATCGCGAGCACGAAGAACAGTGAATATGCCGCAATCGCCCATCAGACCAAGCCGATTTATGGTATGTCGCTAATATTAATGTGCCAAAATGGCTCGCCTTGACCTCTTGTCTTTGATCAAAACGACGCCATGGCAAACCACATCAACTAATCATAGACTCCTTATAGGCGTTCAATTTCACCCTGAGCTTGAACACGTAAGTGGAACTCTGACTCCGGTCGGACCAAAACTGACGTCGCCGCAGACGCCAAGAGGCAGTGAGATCCTTCGCAACTTCAGTGTCGACATTTGCGGAGCGCAACCCAACTGGGTTATGAGTGATTTTATCAAGAAGGAGATTGTCCGCATTAGACATCTTGTTGGCGATCGTGCCCAGGTTATCGGCGCCGTGAGCGGAGGAGTTGATTCCGTAAGTTATCCCTTATCTTCTTTGGAGCACAGTCGAGATTAGGGATTAAAGCTGACTTGATAAACAGACCGTCGCTGCTAAGCTCATGAAGGAAGCAATTGGCGATCGCTTCCATGCGATCCTGGTCGACAACGGTTAGCAACTTACGCCTCAACGCAGTCAGACAAGAGGGGAATACTGATATGCTACATGTAGGGGTTATGCGTCTCAACGAGTGCGAGCAGGTGAAGGAGACACTCCAGAAGCACCTCGGCATCAACCTGACAGTTGTTGATGGAGCTGAACTGTTCCTTAGTCGTCTCAAGGGCGTCACAGAGCCGGAGAAGAAGCGCAAAATCATTGGTGGAACATGTATGCTCATCCCTCGGGCTCTCTAGTTGGCTGGTCTCCAAGCCATTATTACAATTGCTCTAACGCGAAGCAGTCATCGATCTATTCGAGAAGGAGGCACTCCGTATCGAGAAGGAGGCAGAGAACACTCCCAATGCCGGCGCGGTCGAGTGGTTCCTTCAGGTACGTCTGATCCATCCTCCTTCATCATGGACTCTTAACTGACTCGTACGTTCCAGGGCACTGTGAGTGACTGTGGGCCAGACATAGGCTTTGGCAACGATGCTGACTTTGGGGTGTGCAGCTTTACCCCGATGTGTAAGTCCGACCCTGACACAAACGTGCTTCAGAGCTGACCATGGTTTAGTATCGAGTCGCTTTCGTTCAAGGTGCGTGGAACCGATGCATTGGCCCGACGAGGGTCTGGGATGCGCTTTCTTTTTCTCTCCTTGGATTTTGCAGATGACTGACTTTTGACTTCACAGGGCCCCAGCGCAACCATCAAGAGTATGGCTTCCTAGCTGCCGATGTCCCCGAGAGGTCTAGCTCTGATTCGAAGACCTCGTCGCAAACCCTAAACATGCAAGGATAGCCGCTGACTCTAGAAACAGCCCATCACAATGTTGGAGGTCTTCCCGACACGCTCAAGGTACGTTGGAAATTGACGGTGTAGCTTAGGGAGATGTCGCCGGAAGGACATGCATGCCCACGGCTCCTTTTCTCAACTATTACTTTGAATGCTCGGAAGGGAAGCAACTGACGCCGTTTGCAGTTGAAACTCATTGAGCCATTGCGGGAACTTTTGTAAGTAAAATCGGCTTGACCCCTTACACACATCAGTGTGCCATGGCCATGCGGTGGTCAATTTGCCAGCGCAAGAGGCAACAGGTAGCGGCGCCGAATCCTCTCGGCTTCATGATTCCGCCCAGGGCCAGGACTTGGCCCGTTCCCTGCATCTTATTGCTGAAATCAGCTAACCGTATGATTAGCAAGGATGAAGTCCGAAGTTTCGGCAGGGAGCTTGGTATCCACGACGATCTCATCATGGTATGAAACAATATTCAAAGATGGTTGCACCATTATCTAACAAGTTCAACAAGCGACACCCTTTCCCGGGCCCCGGGATCGCCATCAGAATTCTTGGGGAGGTCACACCGGAGCGCGTGGCAATTGCCCGAGCTGCTGACAACATCTTCATTTCGATGATCAAGGAAGCTGGCATCTACGACCAGGTAAGTGTGCACAATAACAAGTCTCTTGAGCAACGATTAACTATTCTATAGATGTCCCAAAGGTATGAAGTCACTTTCTAGGATTTGAGGATGCTCTAAACTAACGTTCGAAGCTATGCTGGCCTGGATACCAACAGAGGTATGTCATAATTCAAAGTCAACCTATTTTAACACCGTTCTAGGCCGACCGATGGAGTTTGCTTTGAGGCCATGTACTAACTACTGTGTTTTATAGCCGTGGGTGTGCAGGGTGACGCCAGAGTCTATGGCTACATTGTCATTCTCCGCGCTGTGCAGACTGCAGACTTCATGAGTTGCGAGGTAAGATCATTCACGCCGAAGTGAAGGGTTGGAGTCCACAGACTAACAGCACGCGTAGCCTTTTGAATTCGACTTCAACCTCCTGAAGAAGATCTCGACACGCATCGTCAACGAGGTTGAGGGTGTCTCGCGTGTCGTTTACGACATTACCAGCAAGCCGCCCGGTAAGCCTATCGATTTCCGCCCTCGAGACCCCATCGGCGGGCCGTATGCCTACGTGCACGTACGTGGAACACGAATCTAACCTCGCTTTTGTAGGAACAATTGAGCTCGAATAGAACATATTTAGACCATATAAAGCATGTAGTCGCATTTAGAAACGACAAACAACAGGCCAAGGTGGTGGTACGGAGAACCAAGGCGGCCTGTTGGGGAATGTCCGTTGAGAATAGATTTCGTTTCGCACCAACCACACATTTCGTGGACCTGTCTTTTAAGCCCAATATTAGGTTTGCCTCATCTCTTATGTTGCTTTCTTCACATTTCCCGGATACGTAACTGCATCGGACCTTTCTTCAGTCAAGGGCGACGGAAGGACACATTGGTCTCAACTATCGCCTCAAACAAGAAACGGCACTGCAAACCAGGCTCAGCAGCTCGGCAATGACACTATTCACGCGCTGTGTAATGTGACGCAGAGACCCGAGCTTGTCGATCTTTTGAGCACGCACAGCACAATGCTAATATGGAGCAGGCCTGTTTGCCAATACCCGAATGCGTAGATGTCCGGCTCAAGCCGATAAAGGTCCTGACAGCGAACTCTCCCGTGCGCTAATATGCCGCTGTGAGGAGGAGAGCCATCCTGCCGGAACCGCCATAATCGCCGCAGGCCTACCTATGACATGGAGGGTGTCAATCCATACCGGAAAGAAGTCCTTCCAGCCTTGGCGCCATCGCGATCGGGTGCGAAAGCTCCCTCCCTCATCAACGCAGCAAAAGAGCACAAAACTGCACAGCCGACGGATGCTGACGGCGGCTCCCCCTGCTATCAACCGAAACGCGCGGCAGCTTAGGGTTAGGCAGACAGCTAGCAAGCAGGGCAGCATCTCCTTTGGGTCGCCGGGCTGCGGTATTTTGCGCTATAGCGCACCAGTGTGCCGTCTGCCAAGCTCGGGATTGACAGATCCCATGCGGGCGGCGCCAGTCTCTTGGTCTTTGCGCTGTGCCACCGCCTTGACACTTTGCTACAGAGGGTTTCATTCAATCTCGATGTCGAACACAGGAAACGACCTCCGCGACCCAAGGTCGATTCTGACGGGCGCTTGCATCCCGAACCATATTCACTCTCTGTACGAAAGGCGCCCTAGTTTGGCCGCTGGCCGTAGTGGTTCACACGACGCCGTTGCGGAAAGTTGACGGAAAGTTGAGGCGAGTGTAAAGTTGAGGCGAGTGTAAAGTTGAGGCGAGTGTAAATTTGAGGCGAGTGTAAAGTTGAGGCGAGTGTTGTTCTTTCAAGCCCGCCGTGCTTTCAGCCCATTCTCAGCCTCTCGGGCTCGGAGTGCGGGTGGGGGATGTCAAGAAACTCGCGCGATCGCGATGTCTTTTCTCGATTCTTCGATAACCCGTTCCGCGTCACACCTCAAGGTCTTCCAGGCCGACGCCTTCTATGCTCTTCGTGTACCAATTGCCTCCCTCGTGCTCCCCTCCTCTTTATAATGACTCGAAATAGGAGACATCCGCCACGGGCTGGTCCATGGAACATTCCATGACGCGTTTCGTCGCACGCCGAATCACTAGTCCGACGACACCACTGGGAATAGCATCACAAGGACTCCGGCTGTCGCGATCGAGATCTACCTTTTCCCCCTTCCCGGTGTCTAAGGCGGCGATGGCGTCGGTTGCCACGCGAGTTGCTGCGTCAAGATTTCCGCGGCAGGGGCATTGGCAATGATTCACGCTATATTCCAGATCCCCCCATTGGCCAGGCTTTCGAGTGGCTCTAGATGCAGTTGTAGATTCTGTTCTAGATGCGTCCACGTCTAGCGTCGAGTTGCTGACACAGCGACGAGTTCGTTATCTAAACGCAGCTGAACTTGAACGTGGTCCGGGAAATACAGCCTCTTGCATCTGTGCCACCCAATCAAAGTCTATGCCAGACAACCCCAAACGCAGCTGTGTCGTATTGTAGTCAGTCACCGTTGCATTTTGTTGTCAGATTCGTGTTGTTTCCTAAACAGTCCTCGCAGCCATGCTTCTCCAAGTAACGTTGGCATCATCCAAATTCCCCTCGGCAACTAGCTAGACTTATTGGGAAACCAAATAGTCCAACGGTTTTATGCCGTAAGTCTCTTTGGTTGAGGAAGCCCGTTGTTTGAAGGTAACCGGGCGGATGGCCGTGCATTGCATCGTTCAAGTGGAGTGCAGCAAACCCAGCCTCGTCAGTTCGGCCAGCCACTATCATCGGTCCCGAGGGGCTGGCCTTTCAAAAGTGACAGGTTGCAGAGTCAGCGCTAGGGCGTTCTTCTGCCGTCATTTCCCGCATTGCAATAGTCCATGCCCCGGTTGCTGCTCCTCCTAGACGGTTCGTGATGGCGGTTATTGACATGGCGGTGGCTAAATGGGCAACCCCTTACTGGGGGGCTGACAACACCCCAGCAGCAAAGTTGCACCGGGTGCTTGAGACAGCGTGTGCCACCCAACTCAGTTCCAAGATGATTGCGGCCTATCAACATCAGGCCTGCGGCTAGCTGGTGGGAAACATCCTTAGGGTGAGAATGTGAAAGGGGTGCGGCGGGGTGTTTGTCCATGTGGCTCAGAGCAAAAGGACGTCCGTCTGTGTCCAATATCAGACGGTGATGTAGGTAGGAACAATGAGGGCACCGGCAGTCAGGGTAAGCTCAGCATTGGCCTAGCCATCATCCTATGATTTCGGTCAGGAACCCGTCATACTCTTTATCTCCCCCCCCTGGGTCTCTCTTATAAGGTTGGTTTCGTCCTCTCTTTTCTTGTCCAAATCGTTTGGGAATCACCGTTATCGCGCAAACCTAGTCATTCGCTTTCATCACCAATTTCAACAATCATCCAATCTGGCCCGCCCTTGCAACCGACCGGACTCTCCAATCTACTGCAGAGCTTATTGCTCATCGTCCAATTCTACATATGCCTCGGAGTTCGCTGGTCCTTCAAAGTCTGGGGGGGAAGTAGTATATGATAGTCCCTGTTGATCTCCTTTCAAGTCTCTCCATATACACACCATCGATAACTTGACATATCGCGGACATGGCTTGCCCATTCCTTCAGAGCACCCTCGCGGTGCCGCCGCGGCAAACCTCGGTGGAGCAAGAGTTCGCCAAAATCCGTTCACGATACCCGTCTCTGTCGTCAACAGGCTGCACTGCGCGGTTCTGTCAGTCTGGGCGGATGACGCACATTGATGAAGAGCGCGTGGGCCGGAACCAGTCATACGCCCAGGTCCGCGAGGATGCTCTCGACTTCTTGCAGCAGATGCATAAAGATGGCCTTATAAACACCGAGAAGCTTCACCACCGTGCACATGAGGTCCTCCAAGAGATTCAAAAGAACTCAGCGGAGGGCAAGTTTATATCCTCCGAGTGCGGGCCGGAGACGGCGCCGGTGACGACCGTTGGACTCGTCGGTGGCCTCTGGACGCAGACGTTCGAAGAGCTTGAGTTTGGCCTGCGTATGGCGTGGAAACATGCCCGGAAATGCATCATGCGTTCTGAATACGGCAACCTCAGGTACTTGCAAGTCTACCATAGCAATGAAACAATACTAATTCATACACGCCAGATTGTGCGACTTGAGACATGTCCGGACAAGCAAGAAAATGGCCGAGACTTTGATCGAGAACCTGAGAGTAGCATACAACTCTGGCGAAATCAACCCCACAGGTATGTGAGTTACTGTTGGTTGTGAGCTCGTTCTGACAGTCTGAGTGTAGTCTTCGTCTTCCCTCCACGAGACATCAACAGCCGTGGGCCCATGATCTGGAACTCACAACTGCTAGCATTCGCGGCTGTAAGTCCTTCCCTCCGTCACTGCTTTTTACGCACGCTAATCTTTCCAAGTACGAGCAATCCAACGGCGAAATCCTCGGCGACCCCGCCAACCTCGAACTGACCAACGCTATCATTGAACTCGGTTGGACACCGCCGCGCTTCCGCTCCCAATGGGACCTCCTGCCCCTCGTCACGATGGCGGAGGGCGAAGAGCCCGTCATCACAGAGCTGCCCAAGGACGCGTTCCCGCTGGTACACATCCGCCATCCCAAGCACCCCGAGCTCGAGACTCTTGGCCTGCGTTGGGTTCCCGCGCCGGCACTGAGCCGTCTTGGCTTCACCATTGGCGGCGTTCAATACACCGCAACGCCCTTTATTGGATGGTGAGCTGAAAGCCTTCCCTTTTGTCTGGACTCTTGCTGATTTAATGCAGGTTCATGGATGCTGAGATTGGCGTCCGTAATTTGGCGGATTCCTTCCGGTACAACGCGCTTCCTCAGGTTGCCAAGGCCATTGGCTTGGTCGACGGGGACGTGGACGACCTACCAGACTATGAACGTCTGGCTGTGTTGGTAAGCTTTACTGACGCTCACTTCTTTTGAACCTCTTGGCTTACAATATCACAGTCCCGAGCCCAGTTGGAGCTCAACTACGCCACGTACTGGTCCTTCGCCCAGGCCGGCGTCAGGATGTCAGACTCCCTCGGCGCCGCGGAGCAATTTGCCCAGTTCGACGACGAGCACCTCATGAACAACGGTTTCCGCCTCCCCTCGGATCCGTACTGGCTGGCCCCTCCCCAAGGCTCCATCATTCCCATCTGGCATCGCGGCGGTTCTCCTAACTACCAGCCAAAACCGTTAATCTGCCGTCATGCCCAAGATCCCATCAAAGCCTGGCGCCGCGAACGACAAGCACGCGCAACACGAACTCGCGATTCTTTGCAAAAGAAGCTCGACATTTTCGTCCCGTCTATCTCCCTGACTCGGCCCGCCACACCCGTCTCCCCCTTCGGTACCGCGTCGACATCTTTCCTACCCGTCCGCCCATCCTCGCAGGCAACTAGGCCGTCGACGCCGCTGACGCCGTTGACTCCCCGCGGGCCCGGGCGCAGAATCTACATCGGATTCTGCAGCTCGGGCAATGTCGCAATCAAGCTCTGCAAGAGGCTGTGCGTGCAGCTGCAGCACGCGTGCGACGCCAACCCAAAGTTGGGCTCCGTCGTCGTGCCGTGCACGCTCAATGCCCTCCCCATCTCCATGGTCGAGGCCAACGACGTGCTGGTCATCGTTGCCAGCACGACTGGTCGCGGCGAGATCCCACAGAATGGCAAGGCCTTCGCGGACGCGTTGGCGAGGAGCCCCAAGGCGATCGCGTGTCGCTACGCCATCTTTGCCAACGGGTCGCTGGAGTACCCCGATACGTACAATCAGGCCGCAATGGACATTGAGGAGCTGCTGAGTAGAGGCGAGGGGCAGAGGCTCATTGGCATGCGCGAAGCCGACACCAGCACCGAGAACCCTCCATGGCCCGTCCTCGGCCAGTTTTTTGACCAGGTCCTAGCCGCCCTGCAGAGATCGAGCTTAGGAGGAGCCGACAGTGACGCTGACGACGCGCAGTGGACCGCTCGGCCGGTCAGACCTTTTGACACCAGGCCTTGGTTTCAGGCCAAAGTTGTTGGACAGCCTGTTTTGGGGGCGACTGCGGACGGCATGAAGAGGGTCACTCTTGACTTGGGCGATCGCGAGTATCCGACCATGGGCAGCGTTTGGATTTTGCCGCCCAACTCGAGGAACAAGGTGTCGAGCGTTCTTGGGGCCCTCGGCCTGCAGGCTGACGAGCGCTTAACCCTCCCTGGTGAGCCTACCGTTGGGGACTTCTTCCAGCGCTTCGCCGATCTGGAGCGTCCTTTCAAGTCTACCGAATGGGCTAATGGACTGTCGTTGTCGCGGCCGGAGACTCTGGCCAAGGCAGCCATTGAAGATGTGGTTCACCAAATACCAGCAGACTGGAGGCGGTCAGTGACGCTGGACGGCCTTTGCAGCGCCATGCCGACGATCCAACCAAGAGAATATTCAATCGCCTCTGATGGGTCGCAAACTAAACACAAAGACGGGAACACCATGGATCTCCTTGTCCAGCACCATCCCAGCGGCAGGTTTTCAGACAGGTACCTCAACTGCTTTGAGACGTTCGGGGCCGTATCCTGCAAGATCCGCCCGTCGTCCCACTTGCAGAACATCGCCGAAAACCAAGACAGGCCAATGATCATATTCACGACCGGGTCCGGCATGGCGCCCGTTCGCGGACTACTGCAGAACCGCCTCCAACGGCTGCGTTCCTCTGACGAAGAATCCGCAAAGGGCCCCACGATCAGCCTCTTCGCAGGCTTCAAGGCCCCGGACGAAGAAATCGTGCGCGAGGCGGTTCAAGAAGCCGACGAGGCGGGCATCTTTGACGTGCTGAGGCTCGTGGGCAGTAATAAGGA